TAGCTTTAAGTCAAAAATGCCGGAGTTTTTACTTAAATAATCACTGAATTAACCAAGCCGCACATTCGCAGCACTTTTTCTTTACTTGCCGGATTTATAATTGTAAGTGAGATGGCTCTCCCATAAACCTGGTGGCTTCTTGGGTCTCCTCGACTCCTTATACATATAGCTGCTAACAATCTCCTTTGAGGTAACGAGTTTTGTTTCTTTACTATTTTCCATATCCAGATAGACGGCAACCAGACGCTGAACGAAAACATAGCTGACAACGGTGGACTCAAAATGGCTTTTAAAGTGAGATTCCTTGATTGATTATCAATGAAGCTAGAATACCTAGCCGGATGTTCATTTTGGCTGTTGTGTTTAAAGGGGGCTTTCTGATATTTGTAGATCTGCAACAATTTTTTGGTGTTTTGTGTCGTGCATACATAGACAAAATCTCGTTCAGTATATAAAGGTATCCAGTTTGTTTTGTTTTCGCTGTTATTTCATATAAATCTGTTTCCATTTCCTCTATTTTAAAACTTCTTAATGTAATTTTTCCCTTAATTCAGGCTTACGAATCGTTGGTCGCAAAAGAGGGCACCGAGGGCGCCCTCCCAGGGCTTGGTTTAACTGAAGAGCAACTGTTCTTTATTGGATTTGCAAAGGTTGGTGTAAATCAATTCATGATCTACATTTATCGCGAGTGTACTTTTAAACTAGGTTTTATCAACATTTGGTGTATACCACACAGCTGAATAGCGCTTTTCGCGCAAGCTGAGTGGCTGGTGCAGAGGTTATTAGCGAGTGCCATTCACCTCCTCTTCGCGAATTAAAACATAATGGGAAGCACACTGTTGAAGCTACTTCGTTTTCTCTTATTTCAAGTATCTCGAAAGTATTTAGTTCGTGAACAAAACTAACGTTTACTTTTCTTTAGCCGTGGTGCAGTATTTACAAGAAAAAGGCAGCCCTTCACCAGCTTCAAACAGACTCTCACACATTCCCCAAGTACAGGTGAGTTAAAAAATTTTATCCACGTCACAATTTTCTGTTATTTTTTGTCTTATTTAATCCTTTGT